GTTCCTTCAGACTACCCAGCTCACTAAACTGCTTACTGCACTCCTCGCACCTGTAGGTTTCTCACCAGTGTGAGTACGCATGTGTTCCTTCAGATGACACAGCTGACTGAACTGCTTGCTGCACTTCTCACACCTGTAGGGTTTCCCACCAGTGTGAGTACGCATGTGTTCCTTCAGATGACTCAGCTGACTGAACTGCTTGCTGCACTTCTCACACCTGTAGAGTTTCTCACCAGTGTGAGTCCGCATGTGTTCCTTCAGATGACCTAGCTGACTGAACTGCTTGCTGCACTCCTCACATCTGTAGGGTTTCTCACCAGTGTGAGTACGCGGTGAAGCTAACGTCAACGCTCTTGTTGCCATGTTGATGTAGTGTTTGTCCTGAAGATATAATGAAAAAGTCACTACAACGATTTGGCTACATATATAACTGTTGCGAGCGGGAAGAACCAATCATCGATGCGAGTTTTCATACAAGAATCAAAACAAGAAATCTGAGATTCCAAACCTCCAGGAAATATATAAAATACATAACGCATAGCAATGATACCTGTTTAGAGTTAAAACTTTAGATCCAACACAAAAAATTCTCTCACCTAGAGCTTTTGACCAGTCACTCTGGTCTTCCTCAGTAGACTGACCCAGTGAAGCTTGTCACGTGGCTTCTTTGAAGTGTGACGTCAACACTGGGTCAAAGGTATCTGGTAGACAATGTCCTGAGAGGGGTGAAGGAGGCTATATACATCAGGGCCCATCATCCTCCACTGGACCGCGACGGGGGCTGACATCATCTACCAGATTATACCTTTGACCCAGTGTTGACGTCACACCTCAAAGAAGCCACGTGACAAGCCTCACTGGGTCATAAGTCTACTGAGGAAGACCAGAGTGGCTGGTCAAAAGCTCTAGGTGAGAGAACTTTTTGTGTTGGATCTAAAGATTTAACTCTAAACATGTAAATACCATGTACCAATACAGATGAACTTTCATGATAGCAATGATACCAGTAATTCTACATGAGTCATGACTTGCAAAACGGTTGATATCACAATACAGGCGACCCCCCTCCTGAGAGTAGTGTGGTATAGCCCATTTAACTCCTAAAGTGGGCAACTCCTAAAGTTGATAGACGATACCACTCCACATGCATCACGGGGGTGTCGAACAATCTTGCTACATTACCCGAAAATGCTAATAAATGTGCAAAAAAAAACAACACGTATTTGGACCTGAATAACTAACTACGTGATCATGAATTGTAGGCGCCAACAGACAAACGTAACGTTGAATTTAATTCTATTGGGGCCTTCTCACCCCCATTAAAAAGTCTTATTCATGATGCTAAAAGTGACCTTTCATTCTAGCTCTTTAAACAAATCCTTTGTGCAAATTCTTTGCCTCTGAGATGTATAGCACTCTACTGGTTTGGTAGCAAACAGTGCTATTTACATGATAATGACAACATCTGTTAGGTTTCTTCCTCCTTCCCCCAAAAAATGTACAAACAACAAAGACGCCTAAAATCACTAGTTTCTTCCAGGCTAACGACGTGAGTTCAAAAACAGGAAAAGGTAGCCAATAGAGAGAAAAATCGACCAGGAGAGTTTAGCAACGAAAAATAGCCTGGTTACCAGACCTATTACAGTTGGGGAGAGGGTGCAGGACCACGGAGCTATAATTTGGTAACCAGGCTAACAAAAGTTCATTTGTCCGTGGGTTTCGGAGGGGAAAATTTAACCCTCCCGCCCGCAGACCCATGCGCAGACTAACTCTCTTGGCAAATTGTTTTCTTTTTTGCCGAATTCTAAGATCCGTACCACCGTAGGAAGACGTGGTGGAGGCTACGAAAAAGGCAGTTTGGCCGCCTTGTAGGTTTGACTGGCCGCGCAGGGAAAGAAACTTACTCCCCGCGGCCGGACTCCCTTGGCCAATTTTACTCTCTTTTTTGCCGAATTCTACGATCCGTACCACTGAAGGAAGACGTGATAGAGGCTACGAAACACTCTCATTGGAGTTTCTTGGCGAAGCACATATGGCAGGCTACATCATTCTGTTGTTAATTCTATCTTTTCTCTGCTGGGGCTAAAAAAAGACTGCATCATCTAATAAAGGAAATGATTTCGATTGCTTGATCCAAGGACATTATGTATAATGTCCTTGCTTGAACCAAGGAGATTAAAAAGGGACTAGGTTTAACTTGAGGGTGTAACATCCATCTAAAAGAGACTTTAGAAAAATAAGACATTACCTTGCGAATATCAGCGATAACGGCTTGATGAACCAAACCAAGGGTCTTCTTGTTGTAAGGCAGAAAGTCTGTCGACACGTCACTTCACAGCTTCAGCTTGCCTTACAAATGACGTACTGTACTGTGAAGTCTGAGGGAGGGTCTAATTTCCATATCCAATCAGGGATCGCCTTTCATACACTAACGAAAACAACATGGGCAGAACGCACTACGCCTGCGCGAAACCTGTAATAGCATAGCAGAGGGTCTGCATGGGGGTCCTGGCAACGGTTAACGGTAAATTCGGCAGGGCCGATAACGCTTAACGGTAAATTCAGGACGGTCGGCAACGCTTAACGGTAAATTGATAGGCTTTTTTTTTCGAGCTGCACTGGATTTGGCATCTCGCTTTGTGAGAAAAGGTGATCACTGACAAAATTACGTATACCTTACATGTAATGAAGCACGCATTAAAGGTACGAGGGGTGTTCAAAAAGTTCTCGGCCTCACCTAGAAAATAAAGGTCAAACTCCTATTCTTTGGTATAGCTGTATACTATGACGTCTTACATCACTGCACACAAAAATTCAAATTTTTATATTCATTAATTAGCACGTGACGCCCCGTCAAAATGGGGCGGGTGAGGGCAAAATCACAAGATGGCCGCAACAGAAGCGTGTGCTGTGATCAAGTATATCGATAAAAAAGGATGTCTCCTAAGGACATCCATGAAGACATGGTCAATACACTTGGTGATGACTTCCCTTCGTATTCAACTATAAAGACGTGGGTTACTAGCCACGAGCGCGGCAAGGAGAGCACAAAAGATGAACATAGGTCAGGATGCCACAAATCAGCACCACGGACAATCCAGTTGAGGCCATCCATCACACGGTAGTGAATGACAGATGTGAGACTGTCCAACATGTTGCAGGTTCTTTGGCCTGTGTTATGACTCAGTTCACAATGTTTTGTCGAACATCCTGGGGATGAAAAAACTGAATGCATGGTGGGTGCCTCGAATGTTTCCTGGACATCGGAAGTTAAACAGGCTGGACATTTCAAGGAACGAATTCAGTCCAATGTCACCCAAGAAGAGCTGGGTTCACCACTTTCAGCCCGAATAAAAACAGCAGAGCAAACAATGGATGAAGAATTTTTTCCGGCCCCCCAAGAAGTTTTAGCTAGTTTCGTCCGTTGACAGGGTTTTTGCCTCTGTTTTCTGGGGCAGTAAGGAAGTAATCATGATTGACTACCTGCGAAGGGGTTAAAGCATCAATGGGGAGTACTATTCAACAGAATTGCGACAGTTTAGGACAACAGTCAAAGAGAAAAGGAGAGGAAAGCACTGAGCTGGCCTGCTTACAATGCACCTGTCCTCACAGCACAGGGGTCAGCGACAGCAGCAAACGAATTTGGCTTTGAAGTTTAACCCCACCCTTCCAATTCACCTGAACTAGCATCCTTGGACTTCTACCTGTTTCCTACTCAAGTTCCACTTATGTGGTCAACGTTTTGATTGTAATGATGACGTCATCTATGCGGTATAGGCCAATCTGGGGGGTCCAGATGCAACCTTCTTCCACAATGGGAAAATAAAGCTGGAACATCACTGGACCAAGTGCATTGCAGTTAGAGAGGACTACATTAAAAAATAGTGTAAGAAAAATTTTACTGCCCTGACGTTTTCTAGGTGAGGCCGAGAACTTTTTGAACACCCCTCGTATGTGTTCTTTGTGTTTCCCGCCTGCCCTGGTCCCGAGGTCCACAAATAAAGGGGAGTCCGAGTCGACGTCGGCCAGGACTCTATCCAGCTTGACTTTTTCCGTCCACCCAGTTTTTCCCGATGGATTTTGGGGGGAAGCGCCAAAGGCGCTCGCAATCTAGGGGGTCCGGGGGGATGCTCCCCCGGGAAATTTAGGATTTTAAGCCTTCAAAAACGCAATTTCCCGCATTTTGAGAGGCAAATCATGGTGTTGAGAGTGTTTGTCGGTCCTTCTGATGTTTTCATATTTTTACTCGAGATTTTGTTAATTTTGCCTGTCAAGGTTGACGGATTCGTTACAAAAATTCTGTAACTCTCCGCAAACTTCAGGTAATTGACGGAAAGCTGGTGCTGGCTAGAGCCAAAGGCGCGAGCAATGTAGGGGGGTCCGGGGGCATTCTCCCCCGGGAAATATTTTTAAACCTTCAATGACGCATTTTCCTGCAGTTTGAAAGGGAAAATTAGGCGTAACTAAGAATTAACACTTAACGCTGAATTTAGGATGACAAATAACGTTTTACGTTGAATTAAAACGACCAATAACGCTTCACGATGAATATACTGATAACGCTTAACGTTGAATTAGAGCGGACCGGCAACGATTAACGGTGAATTAAAATAGCCCATAACGGTAACAAAAAAGGGCATGCAGACCCTTATAGCACTTCAGGAGTATTCAAGGAAAGCTTCTTACTTCGTGTGTATAATTTTGAAATGTTGAGTCGGAAAAGATATCGTCTGCAAATTTCTAATGCAACGTTGACTAAACATCTAACCTTTTGTCCCTATCCAAAACTCCATGTTGTTCACGTGAGTGTATGAAAGGCGATCCCTGATTGGCCACATCATATGGAAATTGACCCTCCCTCAGACGTATGTAAGGCGATCCCTGATTGGACACAGCATATGGAAATTAGACTCCTACCCCCCCCCC